TGTACATGGGGTCAAAGGGCAGAACCTAAGTATTTGGGTGCAGAGCTGATGAGTTTGGTACTAAGGTTGGAATGTTCTGCTATGTCCACAATTTCTAGACTCTTTAAAACCAGAATTATTAAAGTGGGCTTCTAATGTTCTTTTTCAGTTTTTCCTGAATGTTCACCTTCGTTCTAGGAAATAGAAAGTGAATTAAATCAGTCAATTTTATGTGATTCTTGAGCCTCATATTACTCTACTGTTGGATTACATAATAAAAAAGTTTTATGATTTTATATTGCCACAGAATCCCTTCTACCTAAGTTTTTACCTAAAAGAAACTTAGAAATATATAAAAACAATTTAAGAATAAAAACAATATTTGTTTAAAAAATTAAGCATGAGACTACAGGTATATTTAAGCACTCTTTGTGTTGTTATTTGTCTCTTACACTATAACCTCAAAGTTGAGGATGTGCAGTGTGGTGGTTACAAATGGAAGCTTCATAGTGAGTCTGCATTTGAATCTCAGCTCAGCCACTTTCCGGCTGTGTGGCTTTGGGCAAGTTTCTTAACCTCTCTGTGCTTTAATTTCCTTATCTGCAAAATGGGAATGATAGTAATTGTAACGTTTATTAGGGTCATTGTGAAGATTTAATAGAACCCGGTGTATAGTAAGCACTAAGTCAATGCTAGTTATATAATAATAATAACAGTAGCTGTTATTGTTATATAATATTAAGGAGACAGATTGTTATACCAGGACTTTGTTGCCAAAGTCTGGATTCAGAACCTATATTCATAGTTTTTAAATTGTGTATCTGTAGCCAGATGTGTCTGATCTTGTTTCCTCCTCTGTGAAATGGGGATGGTCATTATGTTTCTCCACGAGTCATTGTAAGAAAGTACCTGACCTCAAGGAACATTCAGTATTTGTACTAGCAGCCTCAGCTGCCCCCGTATCGTGAGTTTATGGCATAAGTAGGAATGCTATGCCTTATATAGAAATTGTTTAGAAGACTGTTTGTTAGTGTCCGCAAAATAAATAGAAAGTATAGTACAGGGGCTACTTCGGTGTTGAGTATTTTGGATGGAAGTGGTTGGCAGGGACTCTTTGCTTGTTGTCTGATTAGATCACAGCCCCTAAGTGAACAATCAACAGACCAAGTGCTTGCCCTCGTCAAGTGGGTAATAACTGCAAATTATCAGGCCTAAGCTGAAGTGAGTATTATATGAGGTTGAACCAAATATACTGATATTTGACTGTTTGACTTATAAACATGGCAGTTTTACATAGTTAAACTTAACATTCACATAAATGTTTTGTGCATCTTACAGATCTTTAATAAAAGTACATGAATATCTCCTTTTGAATTACTGCAGTCTTTGAATAAGCATGGGAATAAGCATGGGAAAACTGAGGTTTTGCTAGTATGACTTCAGTATTTTTTGGAAAACTTCTTTCTTTGTTACCAGAATTGTTAAGGAAATGCATAGAGATTCACAGAGATTGTGTTTTTTTATGCTAGAGGATGATTCATGGACTCACAGAATCTTTGAGTTAGAAAGTAACTTTAGAACCACCTAAAATGACAAAATTCCCTTAGTAAATTTGCAAATATTTTGCAAACAAGTTTTAAGTGCTATTTTTCAGGCCTTTTGTCTAGTGAACTGGTAGAATTATAAATTGGTGCTTCCTTTCTATAAGGCAGTTTCATAGGATGTATCAAAGCCCTTAAAAATATTTATTTCCTTTGAACCAGTAATTCCTCTAAGAATTTATCTCAAGAAAACAGTTAAGGGTATATGTAAAGATTTAGCCCCAAGGATATTTATTGTGACCTTATATGTAATAATGAAAGATTGGGAATGGTACAAATGGCCAATTGTTGGGTTTATTGAACTATTCCTTAACTCCCCATCCTGATTGCCCGCCTCTGGATTTTCTCATGTTGGTCAGTGTCCCTCCTAAAGTGTGATGCTCAGAACTGGATCCACTACTCCAAGGGTGCTCTGACTTCAGAGAGGACAGTAGGCTCAGGATTGCCCTTAATCTGGACATGGAATTTCCAACAGCAGCGGCCAAGTTTCTGACCATGATGTTCTGTCTGTGTAACTGGGGCTGCCGAAGCCCAAGAACTGTCAGCCGGTGCCAGTCCCCAGCCACGCTTGTATCTTTTAAGGAGTGACAGTAACTGCTATTTACAGAGATGGCTATTCATGAGGACTCCTTTTCTTTGCCTGACAGAGGCCCAGTGTTGTAGCTCTGAGAGGAGATCTGATGCCAGTGTGTGAGTCACACCTACTTGCTGCTATTTTCTAGAGTTTTAGGCCACTTGTTAGTTACTGCACATCAGCTCCCCCTTTTCCACCCTGCCCAGCTTGCATTGTCACCCTGCCTCATCTACCATGCTGTGCTTGAGTGCTCTTCTCTGCGTTCCATGGGTCTGCTTCATAGCTTTATGCTGCACTTTGAAGGAACTGTGTCCACTGTTGGTGTCCACATTCAGGAAAGTGCTGATCAACTGTTGGCAATAGATAGTTGAATAAATTCTGTGATTGGTTCTTGATTTCCATATTTTCTTGAGTATTTCTCATTGGCAGACTTCTTAGGAACATTTTCTGTGAAGAGTGCTATGCAGTTAGGCATTTTTTTGATTTACCACGAATACTCAAGAGTTGTCAGAGTGTAAAACACTGTATTGCCTTTTATCTTCAACTTGCATTTCCTTATTGCTTTAGGCTTTATAGTTTGTGAAGTTCTCAGTTTAGCTCAATTCTGTTTCTTTATGTGTACTCTAAGCCCTATACCCCCCCATATTCTTATGACCTAACATTACTTCTTTAAGGCATCTCCAGTTATTTGGACGTCTTCATTTCTGACTTTTCTCACTCAGCATTTCCAGAAATTTATTGAGAATAATGCACACTCTGTCTCCCTTTTGGAAAGTCATGTTGCAGTTTAGCTCTGAGAAATCCTGCAGTCAAGAGAACTGTCCCCATTTGCTAATAGATTTCCTAAAATTATTTTGCTGTGAAACCTTTTTTTCACAAAGTACCATAGAAATATTGTTGTGCCAAACACATTTGGGGAGAGGCATTGAATTTTCCCTGTGACTCACTTTCTCTGTCTTTTCAAGCTTGCCTTTTTTTCAGGAAGGTGTTGCTGGAAGCTGATCCTAAGCAAAACTGTGAAGAGAGGCTGGATTTGCTTATGGTCGCTCACCTTCTCTCTCAGTGTCCTCTTTTCCTGACTGGGAGCACATCCTCAGCCCAGGCTTGTTGCTTCTGCTGCCCAGAATCTTTCTCTGAAGTGAGGGTAACTGGGCTCTTTCTTTCCTGTCTCCTTCTTCTCTGGACTTATCTCTTTTTTGTCAGAACTTGCCTGTTGTATATATCTTTTCCATGTGAAATGAGAAAGGACCAGATCACTGAATTTGTGTCAAGATGTTAATAGAGGAAGCAAACCTAATGTGTTTGCCTTGCCATTTGGGCTATTTGCAGTTTTACAAGGGGATACTACCTAAGCTGTGTAGCATAATGGAAAAGATGTATATTTCAAAACCAGAGAGACTTGGGGTTGAAGGTAGGTCCTACCATTTACTAGCTGGATGACCTTGAATAAAGTGATTTAACCTAAGAATCAATTTCTTCATGTAAATAGTGAGCAATAATATATCTGATAGGCTTGTTTGAGGATTAAATGATGTGACGGTTGTAAACCCAGAGCACAATGATCAGTAGCTATTGTTGTTGTTGTTATTCAGTTATGATTCCATTGCCTGTGATTTTTTTCCCCATTTTCTTGTGAAAAATTTCAAACACAGAAAAGTTGAAATAATTGGATAGTGAACACTCATAAACCTACCACTTAAATTCTATAAATAATATTTTTCTATATTTGACATCACATATATATTTACCTATTCATCCTTCTATCTATCCTTCATTCCTTCTTTTTTTTAAATACATTTCAAAGTAAGTTGCAGACATCAATACACTTCCTCCTAAATACTTTAGCTTTAACATCATTAGCTAGAGTTCAATATTTGTGTATGATATTTTTTGAGGTAAAATTTACATATAGTGAAATGCACAGATTGTAAGTGTACTGTTTGTTGTGTAACCCAGACCCCTATGAATATATAGAGTATTTCCGTACCCCTGAAAGTTCCCCATGCCCCTGTGTAGTCACTGCCTTCACTCCCAACCTTGAGTATTGCCTGGGATTTTTAGTACTAGAATTTCAGGCACTGATTATAGTCTAGTGATTGGAGTATCAGGAAGCTGGGGAGCTGTCTGATGTGCTTCTTATCACACACCACAGATGTTGGAGCTTGGTGTAGTTTTTCCATAAGAAATTTTATAAATTTCTTATTTTCCTAAAAATTTAATCATTGATTCAGTAAACAGTTAGTTGCCTGGTACTTTGCTAAGTGCTGAGGGAAACATTCTGGAATGAAATGAGCGCAGTACAGTGTTGTAGGAGCTCTGATAGAAATAGGCAAGAGTATAGTGGAGGCACAAAGAAGGGAGTGATTTAGGTTTTCCCAACTTGAGGGCATAGACAACAATGGCCTCATAGAGAAGATGATACTTGAGCTGAGTTTTGTGAAAGATGGGTTGGTGTTTGCCAGACATTAGTCGAATGGGAGAGCAGGAAAAGGGCATTCCAGGCTAAGCAAAGGCACAGAGGAGGGAAGGAGCTCCGTGTGGGGGAAATGGTTTTACTAGGCTAGAGCAAAGGCCGCAGACGATGAGGCTAGAGTGGTAGGTAAGGAGGACTTTGCATACCATGCGGATAATTTTGGTTTACTTCTAGAGTGTGGGGAGTAATTTAAAAGGTTTATTCATTTATGAAGGGGATTATACTCAAGAGATAGAAGTTGTCAAGCAATGGAGTAAGATGCTTTAGATTGTTTTATGATCAAATCAAAATCATATTTTTTCTTTGTTTTATAAAATTTTGATTTTATATTTATAATCTGACTTTTCCCCCTTTTCTCTCTCTAAAATGACAGGTAGTATGCCAGTATTTGAAAAATCCCAATGTATCTGATCCACAGTTGCTGGAGAATATTTTCCAAGCTCTGAATGTGTATTACAATTATTCAGGCCAGGTGAAATGCCTGAATATGTCAGAGACAGCAACTAGAAGTCTGGGATCCCTGGGTTGGAGCTATCAGGTAAGTGTGTGTAATTCCCCTAAGTGGAACTTCCTTTTCACTGATAATGGTTGTGCTGTAACAGAGAGTTCACAAGATTTTGTCATCTAACCTGGATTCAGATCTGGGCTCTGTTACTTTATGCTGTGAGACCATGGATAAATTTCCTCATTCATTCATTCGTTCATTCGTGTATTTAATCACTACCAAATATATTCTGAGTACTTACCAGGTGTCAGGCACCCTTCTAGGTTCCAAAGAAACAAAGATAAATAAGATGTGATCTCGCCATCAAATATAGCTTGGTGAAAAAGATAGATAACCAAACTAATATTACAATAGATCTCGAGAAGTCCTATAAAGGAAGCATTTTATGGACACATAAAAGAAGGGGGGTCTACCTTGACTTTTTCTGAGCCTTCGTTCCTTTATCTGTACAATGAGACTACTACTACTGTAATACTTTCCTCCAGAGTTGTTTTGAGGATTAAATATGATAATAGATGTGAAAGAAAGCAGTTTACAAAGAAGGAATATATGGCCTTAACTTCTGTGACTTTTCATCCAAGCCTTTCCAGGAATATGAGAGGTGGAATGGCATAGAGGTAAAGAGGAAGGGCTCTGAAGCCAGACTGCCTGAGTTCAAACCCTGGCTTTGCTACTTACTACCTATATGACCTTGAACAATTTATCTAACTTCTCTGTGCTTCATTTTCTCATTGGATTCTCTTCTGATTTCTTTTTTCAGGCTTGCACAGAAATGGTCATGCCCTTTTGTACTAATGGTATTGATGACATGTTTGAACCTCACTCATGGAACTTGAAGGAATTTTCTGATGACTGTTTTAAACAGTGGGGTGTGAGACCAAGACCTTCCTGGATCACTACTATGTATGGAGGCAAAAACATCAGTTCACACACCAACATCATTTTCAGGTGAGTTTTTGCTGGTCTAGAGAAAAACTTTGGTTGTTGGAGAGGTTTGTAGAATAGCTGAGAAAATAGAACCAGGAAAATGCTGGATAATAAAACAGTATAGAATACAACACTAGTATCCATCATGTTTTCCTACCCTTTGAAAGACAGAGGATGCTGAGAAGAGATGTGATTTTATACTGTATTACCAACATGCTTAAAGGTTTAAAAACAACAGTGACAAAATTAAAGTATTTTTAAAAAGTCTCTCCACAAAATGAAGCATCATTTCTTCTCAATTTGCTTTGCTTTCGTTATTGTTGTATTTATAATAAACATTTTTGGTATTTATTCAATGAATGCTTTTGAAGTGCCCACTCTGTTGTGTTCCAGGTGCTATATGAGGCACTTTAAATAAATCGCCTAACTGAATCCTCACAACCCTGTGAAGTAGTGGTATATTATAGTTCCTTTTTACTGAGGAGGAAAGTGAAGGTCACGGTGCTCAGTCACTTGCCAAAGTTCATCCAGCTTTGTTTTAGTTACTAAGTGATGAAAGCTAGATTTCAACCTTGGCTTGTCTGACTGCAAAACCCATGTTTATTCTTCTAGGTTACACTGCTCCTTTAGGAGTGGCATATTTGATATTGGTTCACATCGGAGTTAACTGAGTAGACTCTATGTATATCTGATTACGACTTCAAAATTTCTAGGTTTTAGCTTGAACATTAGCTTATCAGCTATTAAGATAGCAACGAGTTTATTAAAAAATTTCCCCATATCTGTATCCAAATAGTAGAGAGATCTCATACATTGCCTCTTAACCTGGAGCTACTGTTGAAATTTTAAGTCTCATTCTTTTAAGAGCTGCTCTAAGCAAGAGTCAAATGTGGCTTTGCGGACATGGCCGCATAGCTTTTAGAAGTGAGGAGTGCTGTTCTGACTGAAGGATCATTCTCTGGGTTTAGGCTCGTGGCTCTGCCTGCTTTGCAAAAGGGCCTCTGTCTTATTGGATTCATGCTGTTTTCTCACCCAGCAGGGTGCCTGCCCCAAATAAAATGTGAGACACTTTAATGGAAAACTTAAAGATTCTTTTTGTTTAATTTCCTTAAATTGTTTTTCTTGTCCTCAGTAGGATTCCTCAAAACTGTGCTCTTCAGCTCAGCCTTATAAAGTGACATTTGAGCAAATAAATCTATTTAGGGTATTTAAGGAAACTGCCAAAATAGGGTGTTTGAAATCAGGAAAGTGTGAAAGGACTGAAAAAGGCTTAAATACAAGCCTTAGGTCTCTAAGCTCATCTTTGTTTCGTCAGAGGAGGAAGTACTTTGTCAATTTCTTGTTTTTCTTTTTTTTTAAAGATTGGCACCTGAACTAACATCTGTTGCCAATCTTCTTTTTTTTTCTTCTTCGTCTCCTTCTCCCAAAGCCCCCCAGTACATAGGTGTATATTCTAGTTGTGAGTGCCCCTGGTTGTGCTGTGTGGGACGCTGCCTCAACATGGTCTGCTGAGCAGTGCTATGTCTGCACCCAGGATCTGAACTGGCGAAAACCCCGGGCTGCCAAAGTGGAGCGCACGAACTTAACCACTCCGCCTTGGGGCTGGCCCGTCTTGTTTTTGTTTAGGAGCTTATCTCTATATAGTATTTTTATGGAATTCTGTAGCATGCTGACGCTTTAAGCTCATTTTCCTTGCTTTGACCTTACAAAACTGAAGTTCAAGTTGAACTATAAAGTGGGGTCTTTAAATTCTTGTTGTATGAAGGTTTTAATATATGAGTTTTTGTCAAATACGTTGTCCTTTTTTATTGGATTCAATTGTTATAGATAAATATTTTAGTTATTGATTTGTCTTATATTATTTTCCTCTTGCTATCAAAATAACCATCATCGTCATCATTGGGGATGGGGACACATTTTATAAGAAAAGTTTGGGGAATAGAACTGAAGCCAGTAGGTGGAAATTACAGCTCAGTGTTAAAAAATTTTTAGCTCAGTATAAGAAGGGTCTTTCTAACAGAGCTGTTGTTACATGCTGTCAAGTCAGCTCCGACTCCTGGTGACCCTATGAATGAGTGATGTCCACAAGGTCCTGTCCTCAACAGCCCTACCCAGCTTTTGTAGGCTCATGCCTATGGCTTCCTTTATGGAGGCAGTCCATCTCATACAGAGCTGTGCAAAGGTAAAATGAGCTGTCTTAAGTAAAATTACTTAAGCTCATTGATCTTCGGTTTTCTCTCTGTAAAATGAGATTAGTAATAATGCTCATCCTATAGAGTTGTTGTGATGCTTAAAAGAGTTAACCCAGTGAAATACTTGGCTGAGACCTGGCAAATGTATATACTCAAAAAATATGTTTTGAATGAATAAATAAAAGTACATGCTCTGCCTTGCATTTTATGTTCTAGCCACAGGAAACTATTTGTCCCTGAATGTCCTGTTCCTTCTTCTTTTTCTCTTTTTCTTAAGACTCAGGCATCCTCCAAGAAACCTTGCCTGACTCCTCCAGGGAGGTTAGGTTTCCCCTACTCCCTTAGCTCCCCTGGGGTCTGTGACTGTCACTTAGCATTCTGTGTGGAAATTATCTGTTCCTGTTTCTGTCTGCTCCATGAGATTGTGAACTTCTCCAATGGCAGAGACTTTGTCTTAATCATCTTTATGCTGTAGCACCTGCTACAGTGACTGGCACATAATGGATGCTCCATAAATGTGTGTGTTGATAAGGATGAGGATTGAAATACAAAGCTCAGGAAGGCTTCAGAGGCATGTGAAAGTTTAAAGGCAGGACTATGTGAAGATGCTGGTTTATCTTTTTGCAGTGGCAAGTCAACTTTTAAGTTATTTAAAAATTCAAAATTCTCCTGTGTTTCTGAAGAAAGCGTGTTCCCAAAGTAAAGGAGCAGCCTCAGGTGTCTGTACTGTCTACTTAGTGGCTACCAGTTAGAAAACATTTCTGGTCGATGAGAAAGAAATGTCCAAGAAACCGTGTAGAAAGTATCTTTATGTTCATGCTTCTCTCCTTAGGTTGCCTCACGCAAATCTAAGTGTGAGTGCTTTTCCGATTGGCAAGATCACACTGTAATGGTTGGAGTGGAGACTTGCCTGTTAGGAGCTTGGACTTTGAAGGCAGGGACACCTGGGTGCTGTTTTGCTTCTTCACCGAATTAGCTGCATGGCCTTAGGCCAAATTACTGATTTATATCAATTAGAAATGATGACTACCTAACAGGGTTATTTCAAGGAGTAGATAGAGTATCATGGAAGTGAACACTGTGGGGTCAGAGATTTTGTCTGTTGGTACTGAATCTCCTATGCCTAATTAGTGCCTGACACATATTAGGCATACAGTAAATATTTACTGAATGAATGAAGCCTTAATAAATTGTAGCTATTAATAGTTCCATTTCAGCAGTTTTTTAAGTTCCACAGTGGTTTTGTTGGAAAGAATTACTTTTTTCTCTCGACTCCAATTGGTTAGAAATTATCTTGCCAATGGTCCTTCTCAGTTATTTAAATATAAATCCAAAAGGGAGTCCCTGAGAAGCTGGTTAGTTTAACATTTCTCAGGCAAATTGATTGTTGCCAGCAATTAAGTGAGGCTAGCTGTAGGGAATTTTATCTAGGCATCTAGATTCTCTCATGAAAGCCAGTATTTTTTTTTTTTTTTTGTAAATTTCCCAGTGACTGGTTTAGCTTTCACAAAGTCCAGGACCAAGAAATTCAAGTCCATGTGCATCTTAGGTCTCTCAGCAACTCCAAACACTGTTGCTAAGCCACTAGGCTGATTCAGATGACCTTTTAAATCAAATGCAGTTTGCTTATTATGTAGCTGTTGGGATGGCTTTTTTGTTTTGCAAATAATGGAGTTTCCTATCTCGGTTGGTCCTGTCAAATTGGAATAATGATAAAGGCTATTTATTTGTTCACTTAAGAGAATTCAACCCCTTGTGTAGTTTACTTTAAAAACTTGTCTGGTGGTTGAAAACTAAGGATCCTGTTTTGCATGTGAGTTTTCCCTTTTGTTTTTAACAAAGCCAAAAAAGTAAATTTTTGGAGTGATTTTTTTTCAAGAATGATGTTAAGTTACAATTGAATTGTTTTTGTAAAGAAAATTGTGAAAATAGAACAGGGAATTTAAACTTGTATTTCAAACACACATATATTTAATGTAACTAAATGATTATTTTCTCATTTAATTTGTACATTTACCTAGAAAAAATGGATTGCATTAGTTTTCTGAGCAAATTTCTATGGGGATTGCTTTCACATCTCTTTCCATGATTCATTTACCTCTCAGAAGTCCTAACAGTTTTCTTGCTTACAGGATATAATAATAGTTATAATAATACTGCACATTGGTGTGGTATTTTATAGTTTATACCATAATATTTTATGGTTTATACCTTACCACATATATTATTTAACTTGGGTCTCATAATATCTCTTTGTGGGTGAGGCATTATCTTTAAAAAATTTTAGGGGGTAATATACATGGGAATTGAGGTTCAAAGAGGTCAGGTGACTTACCCAAAGTCATGTGACTAGTAAGGGAGTAAAACTTAAATCTGCTGACTAGCTCGTTGTTCTTGTCACTACTACACAGCTAAAGGTCAGTCTTTCTATATTTATATTAATCATTTATATCATCTGCTTTCCTATGTAAAAAGTACTGAAGTGATTTACGTGTTCCTGAACTTGCATACATGTATTTAGAGACCTTTTTTTGTGTAGGGCATCTGGTATAAGGCCACGGACAACTAGGCACTTACATTCTTTTTTCATTCATTCACTAAATATTTGTGTGGCTCCTACTGTGTGCCAGGCACTGAGGATACAGTAATAAACAAAATAGACAAAAATCCCTGCCCTTGAGGAGTTCTAGTTTGAGAGATAGCCAGTAAACAAGATAGCACCTATAAACACGTCAGAAGAAGTTAAGTGCTAAGGAGAAAAAATAAACCAGAGAAGAGGCCTATGAAATTTCTCGGGGCAGAGGGAGGTTTGAAATTTTAGATGTGACCAAGGAAGACCTTAGTAAGGGGTGACTTTTGAAAAATGATCTGGAAGAAGTGATACCAGCTCAACACAAGGTTGAAGTAAGGGAAGCCATATTGTAGAAAAGAAACCATATTGTAATTTTGAATGACCTCTGATTAACCCAGTTGGATATGCACCCTCCAGGAGATATACATGCTCTGTAGATTTTATGGCCCCTCCCAGCTGCAATAAGTTGATAACTTTGTTCTTTTGAGTTCCTTGGGAATGTGATGACCCTGGGGAGAGATTCTATGCTGATAGCCATCATCAATGACAACTGAAAGATCTGGGTATACAGCATTGCTCTGGCCCTTGATACATAAGTAGTGAAACAAAAGATTACCAGAAACTAAGACCAGATATCTGCCCCTACCTGCAGACCAGATGCCTCACCCACCGAGAGACCAACCTCCTATATAACTGGCCTGTAGTCTTTGTTCTATAAGGTGGTTCTTTTGGACATTAGTCACCCGTCTTCGCCTTTGCTAGCAAGCTGTAATAAAACCCTTTCTTTCTTGCCACCTTACCTGTTGACTATTGGCATGTCTTGCAGCAGGCAGATGACCCCCCTTGGGCGGTGACAGAAGCAGCTAGCTAGCCATGAGTTTGGTGAGGTAAGAACACTCCAGAGGAGTCAGCAAGGGCAAAGGCGTTGAGATGTAAATATCCCCAGTATGCCCTCCCTGGGTACAGTAAGGGGGTCAGTGAGGCTGGAGTGGAGTTAATGAGAGAGAGAATAGCAGGAGATGGAATCAGAGAGGCAGCAGAGGGTCCAGATCATGTAGAGACTTGTAGATCCTAGTGAGGATGTTGTTTTTAACTCTGAATGAGACGGGAAAGCTTGAAGTGTCTTAGGCAGAGGAGTGACATAATCTGATTCACGTTTTAACAGGATAAAATTGGCTGCCCCGTTCATATTAGATTGTAGGGAAACAAGAGTAGAAGCAGGAAAATCAGTTAAAAGGCTGTTCAGTCTTGAGATAATGTTGATTTGGACTAGAGTGGTGGCAGCAGAGGTGGTGAGAAGTGTTCAAATTCTGGATATATTTCAATTTATGGCTGACTGGATTTGTTGACTGATTGGGTGTGAAAGAAAGAGAAGATTAAATAGTGACATCAAACTTTTTGGCTTGAGCCCACTAGAAGGATAGGGTTGCCATTAAAAGGGATTGGGAAGATAGTGGGAGGAGCTGGTTGGGAGTTGGGGAGTATGAAGAGCTCTGTTTTAGACCTGGTGAATTTGAGACGTCTGGTTAGACTTCCATATAAAAATGTCAAATAGACAGTTGAGTTTGATTCTGAAGTTTAGGGGAAAGGTCCTAGCTAGAGATATTATTTGGTAGTCATCTGTGTATAGATTGTACTCATAGATGAGTGGGTTTTTTGTGATTATGCAAATTATGGGAATAATTTCATTTATCTGATAATGGGACCTTCAAGATTTGTTATTTCAGGCTTTGTAACAATATCAACAAAATGAAATGTGCATTATACAAATGTCAGAATACATGTAAAAATGTTCTGTAAGTGATTTCAAGTGATATGTAGATAAAGATAAACCAAGGAGAGCCATAGAGGGAGAAAGTGATCTAATACCTGCCATGGGCCAGGTACTTAAATCCAGGTATTTCAGTCCCTATTTTATCCTGAGGAATTTAAGCTTCCATAAGTTTAGAAAGATGAGAGGCAGACCTGGGACTGGAACCCAGGTATGTCTGATCCCAAAGCTCATGCTCTTCTTACTCTGCACCACACAAGTCAAGAGGGTTTGTGCTGTTGATTTCCAATAGCAAGCATGTGTCTAAGCAATGCAGTGAAGTATAAAATTGAGCATTGGACTAGGGTTACAAGACCTGAGTTTCTCTCTCAGATTTGCCATTTCTGGCTGAATGATTTGGGCAAGGCTTTTAACTTCTCTGGGCATTAGTTTTCTCATCTATAAAGAAGTTGTAATTAAACCTACCTCATAGGGTTGTTATAATGGTCAAATGTGAAAGGCTTTGTAAACTCTAAACCAGTCTCTGTATGTGTGGAGTTAATAATACTAGGGAGCAATTTGATTTACAATAACATCAAGAATAAAATACTTAGGAATAAGTTTAATAAAAGAAGTACAAGGCATGTACACCAAAAACTACAAAACATTGTTGGAATCAATGAAAGATGTAAATAAATGGAAAGACATTTCATGTTCTTGTGGAAATAGTAACAGTGTTAAGATGTCAATACTCCACAAATGGGTCTACAGATTCGGTGCAATCCCTATCAAAATCCCAGCTGGCTTTTTTATAGAAATTGACAAGCTGATCTTAAAATTCGTATAAAGATACAAGGGACCCAGAATAGCCAAAGCAATCTTGAAAAGGAAGAACAGACTTGAGGAACTCATACTTCCTGGTTTCAAACTTACTTTAAAGCTGCCATAATCAATGCAGTGTGATACTGACAAAAAGAGACATATAGATCAGTGGAAGAGAACTGACAGTCTGAAAGTCAACCTTTATGTGTATGATCAATTGATTTTCAGACAAGAGTGCCAAGACAATTCATTGGGGAAAGAATAGTTTTTTCTAAGAAAAGGTCCTGGGAAAACTAAGTATTCACATGCAAAAGAATGAAGTTGGATCCCTGTTTCATATCATACAAAAAAATTAACTCAAAATGGATCAAATGATTTAATTGATAACCCAATTTAAAAATGGGCAAATATCTGAATAGACACTTTTTCAAAGATATACAAATAGCCAATCAGTACATGAAAAAATACTCAACACCATCAGTCATTTAGGAAATGGAAATCAAAACCATAATGAGACTGTTTCACACCTACATAGGATGGCTATAATCAAAACAACAGATAATAAGTATTGGCGAGGATACAGAGAAATCGGAACCCTCATAGTTGCTGGTGGGAATGTAAATGATGCAGCCACTTTGGAAACCAGTTTAGCAGTTCATCAAAAGTTAGTTCACCACATGTGCCAGAGATTCCATTCGTAGGCATATGCCTCAGAGAGATGAAGACATGCATTCATACAAAACATTGTACACGAATGCTCATAGGAGTGATATTCATAGCAACCGAAAAGTGGAAACAGCACAGGTGTGCATCTGATGAATGGATGAATAAAATGTGGCATATCCATACATGGAATATTATTTGGCCATAAAAAGGAATACTGTAGTGATACATGCTCCAACATGGATGAAACTTGAAAACATTATGCCAAAGTGAAAGAAGCCAATCACAAAAGACCACATATTGTATAATTCCATTTGTATGGCATAGAGACAGAAAGTAGATTAGTGGTAGCCTGGGGCTGAGAGTAATGGAGTGTGGAGGAGGGGAATGGGGATTGCCTGTCAATGAGTATGAATTTCTTTTTGGGGTGACGAAATGTTCTAAAATTGGTTGTGGTGATGATTACACAACTCTGAATATACTAAAAAACATTGAATTGTACATTTTAAATGGGAGAATTTTGTAGTAGGTGAATTATATCTCAGTAAAGCTATTAACAAATATTATTATGGATGCTGTCTGTGGTTTTATTGGTTTTTTACTCAGCTAAACTCAATAGCCTAGTTCAATGACTGATCTTGTTTACATCATTCTGAAATGTGTTGTGTGAACCAGCCAAGACTAATAACCTAATAGCATTGCCTTAACTGTGAAGCTAATACAAAATGAGAATGAGGATCTTTGAGTAATTTCCAAATTTTCTGATTCCAGATTCAGGGAAATTTTTTCATGTCTACCACATTGTTTTCCAAAGTACTGTACTAAGAGGGAAGTATTATTTAAAAAAAAAAGTACGTGTTTTCTTTTTTTCTTTTAAGAGCTAAGAGATAATTAGCATTTTTAAATATGGGAACTTTTCTTTATCACTTTGATAGTTGGGTCCTAGGAAAGAAAGAAACCCGGTTGACTGAGGGACTCCAGTGAGCCTAACACTTGTGCTTATTAAGTACATCACATGTATCATCTGGTTTAACCCTTACAACAACCTTATGAGGTAGGCCTTGTTATCTCTATTGTACAGGTGAGGAAACTGAGTCAGATAACTTGTGTAAGATTATATGGCTTTGGAGTGATGAAGCCGGGATTGGAATTCAGGCTTCTAAGTTCCAAGTCCCAGTACCGTCTGGTTTGATTCATGAGGCGCCACCTTCAGTCTTCTCTTGTCCTGTTTCTTGTGCCTGGTTGCAGAAATATTTTAAAACTCCAATATGAAGCACCTTTCTATATGACAGATTAGATCCTCAGATCAAATCCTCAGGTTATAAGCTTATAATTTTAGATTTTATACATACAATAGATTTCTCCTATCTTATCTGGGTGTAGATATGGAAAACTAACAATCATATTTTTTTTCTTTCCCTCACTTAGCAATGGTGACCTAGACCCCTGGTCAGGAGGTGGAGTAACTGAGAACGTCACAGACACCTTGGTTGCGATTACCATCCCAGAGGGGGCCCATCATCTAGATCTCCGAGCCAACAATGCCTTTGATCCCACGTCTGTGCTGTTAGCCCGCTCCCTGGAAGTTAGATACATGAAGCAGTGGATCAAAAATTTCTACGCCAGCCTGAGAAAGAAGCACTGAGCAACTTTTGATCATTTTCAGTTTGTTTTATGTTGATTTCACTCACATTCCCATTCACTTTGGTTTTCTACATGTAATTACTTTCCTTTGTTTATCAGTAGATGTGGCGAGGTGAAGGTTGAGATAGAAAAGAGGGTGATGGTGGCAACAGCAGCCATCCCACACCCTAGGTCCTCGCCATCTTTGTGCCACCTCCAGGAAGAATCTCTTCATGACAGCTTTCCCACAGCATTAGTGGCCCTCACAACTGGAGCAGAGTTCCCAACTGCCTTTCACAAGAGGGAGAGTCACTTCTTTTGTTTCTCTGAAAGCAGGATTTCTCTTCATTTTGAGGTTGAAGTTTCTTTGGCCCATTTGTCACTCTCCACCCCTGTCCTCCCAAAAGGAAAAGCTGAACATAGATAAAAATGATGTAATTGCAGCTGGTAGGAAGGATGTCCAATGCCAGTCCAGGAAATGGAAGCCATTTCTTTTGTACTTGATTTAATTGCTTTGAACTATGCTGTAAATAAAGAATAAGGCTGGACCTTATACCTGTGTGTTGCTTCTGAAGCTCACTCCAGCTGTTGAGAATGCTGTGTGCACTGGGCCTGGCTGTTTTTGGAAAGTCCTTTAATTTTCTCTCTTCTACTTGGCAGCTTTTCTTAGTTCTGGGATATTTGCCACTGTGGTACTGCCAGTAAGAAATCTGGCCTTTTTCTGCTCCATTTCTCTTTGTTTCTGAGGTCAGTTTTGTGGTAATTTGGTTTCACTTTACCAGTTTAGGAAAATGACTCTGTTTTGCTTTTCCTTTTACATCAGAGCAAGTTTTTATATGCTATAGTCACTGATAATACTTCAGTAAGAAGCCTTGAAAAACTGATGAATCTCCTATTCAGAAGGTAGAATGCAGTTATGTTTGGCATTTTGTTTTTTAAATTTTATTTTCTGGTGGTTGCTGCTGCTGTCATTAAAGCCAGAAGTGTCAGGACACTAAGAGGCAGGTGCACGAGAACTTTTCTGTATGGCTTCCAAAAGACAAGCTGACTAATTCATGCAGGCAGCATATTTGACATTAATAAATGGCCGAGCTGTTCCTATTTCCAAGGGGTTGGCTTCTTTCAAGCAGTTCTTACACTGAGACTTTTCTTCAGAAGAGCTTTTCTAGGATAACAAATAGAGTTGGATCAAAACCTTTCAGGCGCACAGAGAGAGACTAACAGTTTCTACTCTGTTGAAAGATTTCTTCTCCCTTGTTTCTTTTTATTTTCTCTCAATAAATTTTTTTTCATCACCCAGCCTCGGGAACATTTTCTGTTTTTTAAAAACTGTACCTTGAGCTTGATCATTTCTAAAGCATTTATTTTTTTAAAGTGCAGATATATAGATATAAAGTTCATTCTTCTGTAGGAGACTGAACTATTTCCCTGACATCTGGGAGATACAGAAAATCTTTGCTTTCAGAAGCCTTCAGTTTTCATTTTAATGAGTTGTCCATCAAAACATTCGGTCACTATTTTCATTTCGGCATTGGAGAAAAGTCTGCTGGGGTGGGAATTTAAGGGTCAAAGCAATACTAGTTTTTATTCTTTGTCAACTAAGAAGTTATATAATGTAGGGTTTATGGGCTTAATAGAGGATATTCTTACTGTTTATTTTAGGGTATTTTCCTTGACACCTTTCTACTTGCTTAAAATCTTTAAAATACTTGCCACATCACTTAATGTTGATTGTTTGGACGAGTTGCATTTTTGTGAGGGGAAAAGTTGCCAAAAAATGACATTTTCTGCAAGTATACTTTGGTCCTATATACATGTTTTTCTATGTACATTTCATGAAAAACAGCAACCATAACTAGTTAGCCTAATTATAATATGCTAAAATTTAATTTTAAATTGAAAAAAAGAGTTGAAACTTAAACCTTATTATTTAAAGCATCCCTCTAATTAACAGATGATGCTTTGAAAGACCCAGGAGGAGAGACAGAGAGATGGGATGTTTTTTATTTTCTGTTTTTGTTACCTTAACTACCTGGAGTCAAATGAGTAGAACTAAAGAAATTTAGGGATTTTCCTGAGGAATCTGTAGCGTCAAAAGATTATCCAGAGGAGCCAATATCTCGTCTAGTATGTTAGAGAATGAAGGCACGTCAGATATCATCCACTCCAACCACATCATTTGTGATGGCTGTGTGGCCCAGAGAGAAGGGACTTGTCTAAGGCCTCATAGTTCATTTTTGCCAGAACCAGCCTTTGAATCCAGGTTTGATTGTTGTTGTTGTTGTTTTCATTTTATTGGTGTGGTTTAATCTTCATTTGGATTCAAGCAACAAAACCTCACCAAACCAGCTTAAACAGAGGAGAGAATTTTTGAAACTTTGCAAGAATACCTCCAGGACTTGGGCTATTAGAAGTCTTGAGGGAATGGAACTGGGCTCTGGAAAGTCATTAAAAGTCAAGGCTGCTACTTTCTGTTTCTGTCACTTTCAGCAGAAGTCATCAGTTGTCAGCCTGTGGGTGAGATTTGTCCCTCAGAAGTTTATAGTTTGGCTAGCAATCTGAAGTGTGCATGTCATCAGAATTACCTGAAGGGCTTGTTAAAACAGTGATTGCTGAGCCCCACCCCAGAGTTTGTAATGTGTCTTGGGGTGGATCCTGGGAAGTTACATTTCTAACAAGTTCCCAGGTTATGCTGGGGAATCACACTTTGAGAAGCACTAGTTGAAAGGGTTCTGAATTTGAATTTTTTCAGACAGGGCATGCCCCTCCAGTTCACCTCACTCCTGTTGTCCGTCCTGATCCCATATGAGTGTGGGAACCTTGCCCATGGCTTCTCTTCCCATGGCTGCTTCATTCTCTGTAGACTAGCTTCAGTGCTTTCACAAGGCCCGTGGTGACTTCCCAGAATGGTATCCTCAGGACCCTAAGGCTGCACCACCTTGCAATCCCCCAACTCTCAGGTGGTTAGGAAGGGACAAGGTCGTAAAAACATGGCTTCAGAGATAAACTTTTAAGATGGAGAGGAGCAGTTCGGGCAGCTCAATATATATCTATCACACAGTGTTTCTTGGAACACTGGTGTCCAACAAAATGCCAATGCCAAGTAGGGTTATTGGATGTAAAGATCTGGAGCCCAGTAAGCCCATAGTTAAGAAAGTTTGGAAAATATTGGGTTAAACAAAGTTAAATAGTAGTTGTTTTTTAATCGGTAAATATGTGTTGTGATTCTCCACAATAATAATTGAGAATGCAAATTTTCCTACCCTTACAGAACATCTATAAGGTATAAGGTATTGTTCTGGAATCTGAAGAAAACAGTGGTGAAAAAGCAAGCACAGTATCTGTTTTAATAAGGTTTACACTCTAGTAGGAGAAAGATATGAAGCTTTGACTAGGGTGGTAGAGGTGGAAATGAGAAGTGGCTGAACTTGAGAGAGATTTAGTAAAGAATGTCAGTGGGATTTGGTGATGGGCTCTATATGAGATATGAATTGGGCAGGTATCAAGAATGATGACTTCTGGCTTGTGCACTTGGATCGATTCCAGTGAAATACATACAGTGGAAAGGGAACACTAGAAGGTGATCAGGTTTAGCAGGAAGATTATGAGTTCAGTTCAATTTTGTCATGTTGAGTTTTATGCACTTTTGAAGTAACCAAGTGGAACTAGCTGTCAAGTAGGGCTTTTGGATGTAAAGATCTGGAGCCCAGTCTGGGCTGGAGAGACATGATAAATAGATGGTGATCCAAGCATGCGATGTGAGCTCAAGGAACTAGTGTTCAGGAAATAAACTTCAGGAGCTGTTACTGTACTGTACCTACCATGATACATTCCTAATAAATCCCCAAACATCCTAATTCTCATACAGCTGTAGTACATAATGACTCTACTGATCAACCCACCACTTGAGCCCTGGTACAGCCTTTGCTTAAATTGGGATCTACCTCTCTGCACTCATTTCCCATTCTTACTGCCACTTTTCACTTTCCTACTACCCTGCACTTCAACCACATCAAACCTCCCATCATTCTAAAATACTGTTCCTCTAATATTTCTTTCTCAGCACTACCCTTCAATATGTTTTCACTGGCAAACTTATGTGCATCTTTCAAAGCTCAGATCAACTTGATTACCTCCCTTGTGTAGTCTTTCTCAGCTTTCCTAAAGGGAATGGTTTCCTCATCTATGCTCTCTCAGGAAAAGGTTCACACCTAGCCTGTCAGCTAGAATGTAAATACCACCAGGGTGGGGATTATCTGTCTTGTTCATCTCTACATCTCCAGTATTTTAAATAGTGCCTGACCATCTCTAGTTTAGTACACATACTCTAAACTATAATATTTTGCTAAATATTCTCACCTTCTTTTCAGGAAGAACAAGCTCTCTGAGAGTAGGGACTGTGTCTCATTCCTTCTAGTAATTAGCACCTAGCTTGGGGCCTGGCAGCCAGGTCTCAGTAGGCCCTTCATAAATTTATATGAATGGATACATTTCAAGGTGGAAAGGCCAATCTTTGTATCCATCTGTCTCCATAGCCAAGCACTTTTCATACCTCTGATGTGCTCACGTGACCTCCTGCCCTTGACTTTCCCGGATTCTGGGAAGGGAATCACCTAGTACTCAATACCTCTAGAACTTGGACTTCCTGATTTACACTCTCTTCAACTGCATGTGCTCTTGGCTCCTCCTCCCACTCTATCAGCCTGGCACTCTTTGCCCAGGGGTCTGAATGTAACTCTGCCTTGATGTTAGGTGGGAACAGAATACTGAGTAGAAACAGAGCCATTCGAGTGGGTAGATTTCTCTGAAGCCACTTTTCAACTCAAGGGGTTGAAGAAGGGTCTGGTTCCAGTAGATTTTTCCAATAATGGAGATGGGAGGATGGAAGCTTACAATAGCAGAGCTGAAAAGCAATCTTGGGATCAATTAGTTCTACATGTGTGTTTAACACAGCTAACATCTTTAATAAGAAACTCAGGCCTGGAGTGTGAAAGTTACTTGCCCAAGGTCATACAGCTAACATGTTTATTATTCATTTATTTATTTTTGTCACATCTCTTTTCTGAAAGGATTTCAGATGAGCTAAAGGTATATATTAAACATAGTGTGAGTGGGACAGAACAGATTTGAAAGGGATAGAGATGTAAAATGGATCTAGGAATGCAAACCATAAAGCAGCGTTTATCAAATAGTTTCCAGCGATTGCTGGTAAGGCCAGATATTAGTGGGTGTTACATAAAAAAGGTGTACCTGATCAAAATGTTTGAACATGGTTGAAATAAATTTAAACAGGTTATCTTTTAATACAGAATCTCTCAAACCTTTGATGTGCCACGTGCATTGTGAATCAACAAGAATGCAACATTTCTCAAACTTATTTGATCCAGAACCTTTTTTCAACAACATTTGAGGAACTAGTGCTCTGCCAAACATTCATTGGGAAATGCTGCCATAATATTCTGAAGATAGGGGCCAAGAAAACTTGGCTCTAAGCTTTCTAGCAGCCATCTGCAAAGAGGAAAACAAAGTCAGTTAAACAGCTCACACTGTGCATAGGATAAAATCACACCAGTCAACCTGGAGAAGCTCAGTCAGGAACTTCCTGAAAGAGCCTCAGAACAGGATAAGGTATAATGAATGAGACCTTCAACTTCTCTACAGATATTGCTAAGTTTCACTGTATTCACCTTATATGATCCTTCAGTATAGAGGAAAGTCGTAACACCTAAGTGTAACAATGATTCTATAATGAACTAATGAAATATACTACTGATGTATTTTCCTTTGCTGATCTGGCTTAATCTAGAAATGGATTTTACAGTATCTGGAGGAACTCTCTCACCCAAAATTTTTCCAGATAGATGTTTCTTGGCCAATTTAAATGCCTTAGTAGATAGTTGGGAGGTATGATGTTTTATAATACAAAGGAAGTACTTCAGACACCTGAATTTACTATCACCCTACTTGGCTCACAGGTTTACTATGGGGCCAGTGGTAGCTCACCGGTCATGTGGAGGCAGAACCAAGACAAGGAGTCAGGTGCCTCTTCTACTGCAGAGATGTTTGCATCTGTTACCAAACTTCCTCTATGGCTTTGGTGGAGTGGTTTTAACTGTTTTTCTTTGTTTTGTAGCTCCTGAAATCTAGAGGCAAATAGCCAAACAAAGGTTTACAGAAAACCGTCAATCAATAAGTCCAAGGTATTAATCTTTAAATGAAACTTTGCTCAGGTGTTATATAAAATGCTGTGACACTGAAGGTATACAATAAATGTCCTTGAATAAGTGCAACACTGTAGA